TAATTTCGGAATTTATTTTATTTTTGTTTCTAATTTTAACTGATATTGTATTGTGTTCTTTTATTTTTTTTATTTTTAATTTCAGTTGTTTCAAAATTGTATTCCTACTTGAACTCTGTTTTTAATTTGTCTAATTTCTGATTTTATTTTATTATATGTACTCTTATTTCAATATTGCTTGTTGATTTTAAATTGTATTCCCACTTGAACTCTTCTTTTCTTTTTTTTTTCTAATTTCTATTTTTTTATTTTTATTCCAAATTTTAATATTCTCGTATTGGGTTTTTATATGGACTCTCCTTTCAACATTGCTAAATTTTAATTCCGAATTACATGTAAAATAGGATTGGGGATATAAATTGCTCTCTTTATGAAAGACCTCCATCTGTTTACTCATTTCAATTATTTGCGAAAGGATATCAAATTATCAATTGCTAGAATCTTCGATAAAAGAAAGTAAATTGTACTTCTACTCGAACTCTTCTTTTCCTTTTTTGCTAGTTTCAGATTTTATTTTATTTTTTATTTCGAATATTAATTAATCTTGAATTGTGTTCTTATAAGGACTCTTCATTCAATAGTGCTTATTTTTAAATCCTAATTTTAGTTATTTTTAAATTGTATTTTTAGTTTGACTCTCCTTTTCTTTCTTTCTGATTAATGTGGGAATTTCTAATCCCACAGCGAACGTAGTGCCTTCTTTCAAGGCTGTTTTATAATAATATAATAGATACATATATTTTGGGATGGTGATAGTCCGTTCGATAAAAAGAAAAGAGCGTGCAATAATATATATACCTATGCGTCTCTTTAAAAGAAAATAAGGAACAAAATAAACTATATATATTCATCCGTATAAAAAATTAAATAAATTGGGATACATGCCCAATTAAATAGGAATATAAGAGATCAAAAAATAAATATTTTCTATGAATCTACAATATAGTCCATGCAAAAAGTAGAAGAATATCAACTACTTTAAAATTAAGAAAGAGGGACTAACTAAAAAAACGCCACAAGTTTTTTAAGAGAAAACTTTTAAATCTAACTATAGTAATCTAACTATAGTATAATTGTAATATAATTCCACTATAGGTATACTATAACTGCAATACAACTTATATATAACTATTAAAATAATACGCACAACTTTATATCTAACTTATATAGAAATTAAAATATAGTTACACTATAGGTACAACATAACTATAGTCTAATTACAACTATACTATACTTACATTTGAAAGTTTTTTTTCCAAAAAAAAACTTGCGATTTTAGAAATTCTGTAGACAAATAATTAAAATTCTAAAAGAAAAATCATTCAAATGAAACGGCCCATATGTCAGTCAAAGAAAAGAACCACGATTTATTTGATTGTTTTGCATCCAAGCACATGCAGCTTCTTAATTTCAAAGGGTGGTCCAGTGGTCCCAGACAAAAAAAAAATCGCGGCCAATATAGGTTTTCAAAAAAAAAAAGGAAAGTAATATATCAGGTATGATATGCAAAGACGTCAGCAATAACATCAATATAATATATCAACCAGCTCCTTCTAAGAATCTTAAGCTTTCTAAATAAGCCATAAGTATCTCGTTCGGACAAGATATGTTTCCCTAGTAGCCTTCTATATATAAAGAGGCTGCAAGCAGTGACAATCTCATGTTCAACCTCCCAGGACCCGGGTATGGTACTGGTTTATTTAATGATACAACATAACACAACAAAACAAATGGTATTTATATAATTTTTTAATAGAATGAATGGTCAAGTGTTATGTCAAAAGTCAACGGTGTTATTTATTATAAAAAACAGTTAGAGTAGATAGCTAGATAATGATCAGAAGTGTGAAGTAGGGTGTTTTTTTCTCTAAACACGCCAAACATGTAAGTTAGCTTTAATAAATTAAAGCCCTCCTGCATTTCGTCGAGAGACATGTAATAATTCATAGATTTGTGTTTGTATAATCAAACACTGTTGCAATTAATTAAGTCAAGTTAGTGAGGATTGGACCTACGGCTATATATAACGGTTCTGTTTTCGTCAGCGTGGATCATGCGCACCTCAAAAAAAAGGAAAAACGGACCACGCGCATCACGCGCTTGCTCATAACGTTAAATTATTTGATGCAAGAGAGATGCGTCTTCTCCCTTGTTCAAAATTTATTTGTTCGGCTAATAGAAATTAATAGGGACTCTCTCTCTCTCTCTGGTGTGGCAAATTAATTAAATTAGGGTCTGTTCATATTTATCACTCTTAGCATGCTCTAACTTTAAGGAAGTACTCCCGATTACTAGTAGTTAGAAGTTCCATGCGTGATATCACTAGGCAAAATAAAATAAGAACATGCATACACTACTACAAGAAAATAATTTTATAGACGGATCATAAGTATATGTGTCTGCACGTTACTTTGTTAAGAAACCCGCATGCAAAATTCATTTTTTCCAAGCGGGCCTCTTAAAAGACCTGCATACGAGAATAAGGGTATTTTCGCATTGAAAACCAATAGAGAGTTGTCGGGTGTCATTAGTGGCCGGCCAGTCACCGGTTGGTTACTTTGGGGAGGTGTCACCACATCCGGTGTCGTAGCCTGGACGGCACCAAACTAAACCAGCAGCTAACTAACACCTCACTCTTTCCTGTAGAAAGCTACCTTCGTCCCATAAAAAATCATTTTTCATTTTGAAAATGATGTCATACATTTTAAAAAGGATATAGTATTTGCAAAAATCCAGTAAAAATCGGATTTTGCCGTCATGTGTGTAAATCGAGATGTGGTTCAACGGCAAGGGATGACTCAGCGACTCAACATTAGCGAGGATGATGCAACGCATCTCAACTGTGGTGAGGACGACATGACACATCTTTGACTGTGCCAAGGACGACACATCCTGACTGGCCTCCATCTCCTCCAAGGCCTAGCTCACCTAGGCCTCCTCGATGGCTCTCTAGCGTCGGCGTCGTCCACGGCGGCGAAGTTGCAGAGGAAGAGAGGTGGCGGCGGGTGTGCATGGGCAGGTGGCCGAGGAGTGGAGCCGGGCGGAGGATGGTGAGCTTGATATCCCTGTTGTGGAATCTGGCCTCAACGAAGATGCGGCTGACGACGGGGTCATCGAGGACGACCATGAGGGAGTTGGAGACAGGGGGCCTTTTGGCCTCGGCTCGTCTGCTCACGCGGCCTCTGGGTGATCTCTTCCTCCGATCCAACCGCCTCTCCAGCTAGCGCACATGAGAGGATAGCCCGACTAGCGCTGCAGCCTGGCCACCTTGCGCCGGCGCCTCCCCCTGCGCTTGGTGCCGCTGCCCGGCCGAGCTCCTCCTCCGCTCAGTCACGCCTCGCCACATCGGCATTGCCGTCAGCCGCCCGTCATTGATCTGGCCGGACGCCGCGCCTCCATGGTCGCGCCATGCCGTCAACTGCCCTAGCCGCCAGTGTCGCCTACGCTGACCTCGCCCCACCGCGCCTCCGAGGCCGCTGTGCCGTTCCCGGCGAAGTCGATGGGAAGGGGAAAACAAGGAAAGAGAAGGAGAAAACGAAGGAAAGAGAAGGGGCAATCTGAGCATTTAAAAAAATATCTCACCTCTTTTGACCCGAAAATAATAAAATAATACGACCGGTGTCTTATAGCCAATTACACGGTTTTTGTAGTGTCTATCAGCTGTGTCACGTTTTCGTGATGTCTCCTAGAAAAAAAAAGGGACAAATCTAAGAGGGGGGTATTTGGATATGGCAAATAATTATATTCCCCTGGAAATAAAGGGGTATACCGTTCCAACGGTAATATCTCCCTCTTTTTTGAGTAGTAAAAATCGCGTCTCGTTCCAACGGTAATATCACGTAAAAGAAAGAGAAATCTCCCGTCTCGTTGTCTCCTCCGCTGCTTGTACCGTCGTGAAGACGAGTCGCGGCTGAACATAGGAGGGGCGGCGATCTTCATTTGCGGCAAGCATAGCAGGGGATGGGATAGGATCCTGCTGACCTGTGAGCATCCACATCTCTTTCTGATTCATCTCTCTCCTACCCCACCCCACGTGACCTGGAATTTGCTTGCGTTTGTTAACCCTAGTAGCTTCTCTAGTATTGTGAGACAAATTTTGGACTATCATATCTAATATCCTGATACTTGGTCTTATACATATGAGTATCATATCTGATATCTAATAGTACCACGTATGATACCCATGAGTATCAGATCTGATACCTAGTTACTAGGTTTGAATACCTAGGTAATGAGTATGATACCTATAAATAGCAGATGAGATAACGAGTTATCGGGTCTGATACTTATGAGTAACGAATCCGATACCTAGGTATCAAGCATGATATAGATTTGTTGCAGATCTGATATTTAGATACCGGGTCTTATACATATTAGTAGTGGATCTGATACCAGATACATGACCCATGTAAACCTAAAGAGGTGTACGAGTAGTGTCGTATTGGAGTATTTCATAGCTATTTTTGTACCGTAGGAGAAAAGAGCAATGCCAGTAGTCAGTGTAGACCTGAGGGTCACCAATATGAAAGGGCAGCACATAACACGTTTTCAGAGAGAGAAAAAATCCGGGCCTGTTTAGATCTCCTAGCAACATTTTACACTCTCTTGCATCGAATGTTTTGACACATGCATGGAGTATTAAATATAAACATCCGGGCCTGTTTAGATCTCCTAGCAATATTTTACACCCTCTCGCATCGAATGTTTGGACACATGCATGGAGTATTAAATATAAACGAAAAAAATAATTAATTACACAGATTGCATATAAATTGCGAGACAAATCTTTTAAGTCTAATTGCGCCATTATTTGATAATATAGTGTTACACTAAACATTTATTAATGACGAATTAATTAGGCTTAATAAATTCGTCTCGCCATTTACAGGCGGATTCTGTAATTAGTTTTTTTATCAGTCTGCGTTTAATAATTTAAATTAGTGTCCGTATATTCAATGTGACCCGCCAAAACTTTACACCCCTTCTAAACAGCCCATAGTGAGATTTAATGGATAAAATCCATTAGAATTTATAAACTACACTATACCGTTGAGACGGTACACCGTCCCATATATTTCTCCAACGGTAATATCTCCAACGGTAGTATCGCGTAAAAGAAAGAGAAATCTCCCGTCTCGTTGTCTCCCCCGCTGCTTGCGCCGCCGCCAAGACGAGTCGCGGCTGAGCATGGGAGGGGGCGGCGATCTCCATCCGGCGAGCAGAGCAGGGGAGAGGAGAGGATCCTGGTGAGGGGCTGCGATCTCCATCCGGCGATCTTCTCGGGCGCTCGCGCTTCCGGTCCCCCCAGGCGGCGATGGCGGCCGCGGCGGTTGGGGTCGCGAGCAGAGCACGCCGGAGTTCTGGCCCGAGGGGAGTGGCATTCTGCCGATGGACGAACGGCCTCCTCCACCCGCGCTTCGTCTTCCCCGAGGCCGCCGCGGTGGCGGGCTCTTGGGCTGGCTCCGCTCAAGGTACAATCCGCCGTGAACTCCCTAGGTTTTCTTTTTGGTGGCTCGGTTGCGGGATCTACCGCGCGTTTGGGATTCCGATGGGTGCGCGCGCGCGCGCTTCGCGTTCCGATCGATCGTTCATCAGATCAATGTGATGTGATGCCTGTCGCATGATTCGAGTTCTAGATAGTAGATTGATGCATTAATTCATTTGCGTACTACTCTGAAATTTGGGGATGTGAGTAGTAGGTTATCTGAACATCACGGGATGCTATCGGACCAAAGTAATTAGAGAATTTCCCTAGGGTGTTTGGGTGCTGGATTGGAGATGTTTAGAGTGGAGACTGGACAATCTACGTTGCAGGAGTTCTTCTGGTGCTACACACATTTTGCATCCACTTGTTTAAGCTTATGCTTTAGGAAATGTGCTGCTCTGCCCCGGCAAACACGTTGCATTAGGAAATGTGCTACTCTATAGTGAACTGCGGAATTAATTCCTCACCATGTTTTTTCTTTGGGGATACAGACTGCATTGCATTGAGAAACGCCATTATGCCAATGAAAATTTCTCCATATGCTTCCTATACTGGTTCACATAGTGTTCAACACTGTAAGTTCCCGACAGCTGGAACTTACAGCATCCTCACTTCCTGTGCCCATGTTCTGAACCGTTCCATATGCATTTCCCACTTGATGTTATTTCAAATTGCTGTGTTCCACTTTTGGGCCATATATCTGGCAGTAATTCAAACAAATATAGTTTTGCCAGGAGTTCTAGCTAACGTCTCTTCCCGGTCCTTGAGATCACATCTGCTTGGTTTTGCATGTCCTATTGTTTGAAACTTGCTGCCTATTAGAACCTCCTTAGTTGTCTCAATACTTTTACTTTTATTACTGCCATATTAATTATCTTGTTGCTGAGCCCTGCAACTAAAACCCTCCTCCCCCCCTCTCCACTGCAGAGCAGAGCGTGACCACCTCAGACAAACCCGAGGTTTTCTTCTTCTCCTTTTTGATCGATGCAGCCGTCGTTCTTGCGGGGAAAGGGTTCTTTTTTTCCTTTTTTATTTTGTGGAGGCGCGGCCGTGGGTGATGGGCGGTGGCTGATGATCGGGGGATTACCACCACCTTCGCGATCTCTCTTTTTCTCTGTGGAATTGGGGTGGATGGATGGATGGATACTCTGTTCATAGATGGCGACGGTCCAAGTTTATTCCTTTTTATTTTTATATGTTTTTTCCTTGTTGGATTTGTTCTGTTGCTGTAGTTGCCGTTTCTTGGCTTCTTGCTTTCAATGTGTTCTCTCTTCTCCTTCTCTTTTTTCTTTCTTTCTTTTTTCTTGTTGTCTGTTCTTGGGGGTAATGGTGTCCCAATCGTATTGGACAAGCCTTCGCGCATGTCACTGATTGGAATTGGAGTGTGGAGTTAGACGCCGACAGGTGAGGCAGATGAACAAGAGTTCCCAACCCAAAAGTTCACTGATGAAGTGAAGTGTAAATAAAATAAAAAGTAAATAAAAGGGAGAAAATACTAGTAGTTGCTTGGGGGAGTTGGGATTCTCCAAAAGATAGTGTCCTTTTTTCTTCCTTTTTCGGTTACGCTTGGTGAGAAGATGATTTATTTGGAGATGGTGGACGACGCCTATTTCTGTTTTCTGGCTGTCTAATTCTGATGATGGCGTCTCATGTTTTTCAGGTGCGTTTTGCGTGAAGTGGGTTTTAAGGATGGTTCTAAACAAGGTGCTCGAGCTATTTTGTGTGAAGAAGAAGGATTCCAAGAAGAAAGGTGCTGCACAGCTGCACTACTGCCCCTATTTAACATCATCTTTATGTCAGCTGCTTCTGTTTGTTTGATTAATCCTAGGATGCTTTCCTCATCTGATGGCATATTATCAGTTCGTTTTGTGCACTCTTTCTTCCATGAATTCTGCATTTTTTTTCAAATATGAACTTGTTTTCGGGTGAAAGGATACTGCAGATTAAATGGGGTTGTCATAATGGATTGAAATTATTGGATAATTGTGGCTGCTGTACATTATTGCTATATCAGATGCTTTGAGGTTAACAAAGTATACCAAAATGTGATATGTTTAGTAAACTTAATCTCAACAGATTGAGAGTGCTACTAGTGTGATTGGATATATTCACTGGAGAGTGAACTTATGAATAGTCTGGTATTATGAATCCATGAGTCTTGGTGATCAATATTGTTTTGAAGTTTGTTAAACTGTATATAGAAAAAAAAAACTTAATATTTCATTAGCCTGTATACCCAGCCACGAAATCCGCATCTCCCTCTGAAGCATGGAATTCTCCTTATTTTGTTTCAGAAAGATAAAATCAAGTGTTTTGCTCTTCTGCCTGGAGTTTTCTAATAAAAGAATATTTTCATGCAGGCAAAGCCATTAATCCTCTTTGTAAAGGTATCTTTTCATGCAACTTGTTCCTCCTTATTTGTTTTTGTAAGGGGCTGTTTGGGAAACAGGGACTTATTCCAAGTCCCTGTCACATTATTTAGAGTATTAAACATAGACTAATTACAAAACCCATTCCATAACCTTGGACTAATTCGTGAGACGAATCTTTTGAGCCTAATTACGCCATGATTTGACAATGTGATGCTACAGTAAAGTTTTGATAATTATGGATTAATTAGGCTTAAAAAATTTGTCTCGCGGATTAGCTCTCATTTATGAAATTAGTTTTTTTATTAGTCTATGTTTAATACTCCAAATTAGCGTCCAAACATCCAATGTGACAGGGACTAAAAAGTTTTAGCCCCATCTAAACAGCCCCTAATTCTTATGTTTCATGTAGCTGAACCTGTTCTTTTAAAAAATTAAAATGAAAAAAAAATAGCACCCCCACCCCCCTGTTTACCCCAATAGGGGATATTTGTTACTTTAACAGAACTACACATTATCTAAATGTTCATCACTATTTGCTTTGGTGTCAGTAGGTAGTATTGATGCAATTAAACCTCTTTTTTGCAGTTAAATGAGCTTCAGTATCCCATTCTGTATCTATGTCTTTAAGATTGGTGTGTGTTTTTTTGTAACATCTTGGTTTGAAACTAGTTACTCTACTGGCTTTCAGTTGCCGCTCCACACCCCACTGCAAATGTCAGTACAAACAACAGCCTTTTGGATCCCTTTTCAACTGGGAATGGTACTGTGCTATCTGTGCAAAAACATGAGCCTGAATGTTCAAGTGTTATATCATCAATGACAAGGACAGAATATGGATTTGAAAGTGATGGTTGCAATTCGTTTAGCCATTTTGATGTTCAAGATTTTTCTGATCATTACTATGCAAAGAATTCACCAGGGAAGGTAAGCTGTGCATTTTATGAATTCTATTTCTATCAATAGATCCAACTGTGAATTAATTTCCTGTCTTTATCTGTGGCCACTGATCAGACCTCCAAAGATTGGGTGAAGACAATCCAGAATGAATGGAGGCTTCTACAGAAAGATCTACCTGGTCAGTACATGCTTTTATATGGCAAATCATTGTATTCAATTTTATCAAACCGTCAGTGCCTAGATGGTGAACACATATAATGGTCCTTTCTTATACTGACCTCTGTTTTATGCCAATTATATCTGATCCGTTTGACATGCCAACAGACTATGTTTGAAATCTTTCTTGAGTTAAAGGTAGTCACATGCTCTGTTTGGGTTTGAATAGGATATATTCATTGGTTATACCAATTTGTTTGTGGTTGGGAGTTTTGTCACAACTGTTGCTGAATCCCAAACTAGCTAATGACATTGTCTATGCTTGATGTATAAAATACTTTATTCGTGCTATATCTGGTTTATCTGTTAGTTTTTGTTAATGTGTCACATATCTTTTAGTTATGGTCTGCATTTATCGTCCCTTTTCCATGCAATCTTGTCATAGAAGCATAACAGTCTTCAGAACTTAATCTTGCTAAGTTTGGGTAATGGGACAAATGGAAAAGAATGTACATATCTCAAATCATGTTGCTGAAGGAAGCTAATGTATCACAAGTATCATTACATACAGTTTACATTTGCGCCTTAAGTTTTTCGTTTAGAGCAACTGTGACTGAAATTAGCTGATGTCTTCAATACTAGAAACTTGCATCTCAGTCTGGTTTCAATCATGCAGAATCTATCTATGTTAGAGTTTATGAGGATAGGATTGATCTGCTGAGGGCTGCCATTGTTGGGCCAGCTGAAACTCCATATCATGATGGTCTGTTCTTCTTTGATGTTCACTTTCCTTCTGAATACCCACAATCCCACCGGTATGAAAGCACTTCACACATGCTTTCCACCATTATTTTCATGTTACTACCACCATTGGTATAACCTCTTTAAAATAATATGCAACGTGTACAGAAAGTTCATTACCATATGCATTTCCCACTTGATGTAATTTCAAATTGCTGTGTTCCACTTTTGGGCCATATATCTGGCAGTAATTCAAACAAATATAGTTTTGCCAGGAGTTCTAGCTAACGTCTCTTCCCGGTCCTTGAGATCACATCCGCTTGGTTTTGCATGTCCTATTGTTTGAAACTTGCTGCCTATTAGAACCTCCTTAGTTCTCTCAATACTTTTACTTTTATTACTGCCATATTAATTATCTTGTTGCTGAGTCCTGTTTTGATGATTATGCACAAAGTATTCAGTTGTTATGGTACCTAAATGAGTAGTTTGCTTGCTGGCGTATCACATGACGTAAAATACTTCTCTTCATCAACTGTTGCAATCTTTTTAACATAGCAGTTGCTTTGCAAAAAATAATATGTAAGTTTTGCATGGTAGGAAGAACTGTTAATGTATAATCCATAGACCTGGAATAAGCTTGCTACTACATAGAGATTAAGAAATTAAGTCAATAAAAAGGGAAAAAAAACTTGCTATTACATACAGATCAAGAAATTAAGTCAAAAAATGGAGAATAAAAGAATGGTACCTTCAGTGTGGCCAAATTGAAAGGTTGGATGTGATAGTATGCCAAGATTGTTAGGTTTACATAGAATCTTTCGTGAGAACCATTGCCATTGTAAGATCATCCACAAAGAATACCATCAATGCATATGTATTATCATCCTGTGTACAAAAATAGCGGGCAACAAATTAACCAATAAAAACCTGCTCATAGCATAAACAGCTAAACCTAAATAGGACCACATATATCATTCATGTTGAACTAATAATGAGCAGCAAACCAAGAACAGGGAGGATCAGTGGCTAGATCAAATAGGTACACTTGCATATAGTAGATGGAAATCATAGTACAACACAAAGGGAAAAATCGTTCATTGCTTTAAGTAGAACTGCATACCAAATAGGGTTTAGCCGAGTCGTCGCCATACGTTGGTATAGTCATGGCTTGTTATTGTTGTCCTAGTCGTGGCCGAGCCGCCGCTCTCAATCTCTCTTGTCGTCCCTGGCGTCCTAGCCATCACTCGGATCTGGCACTTAATGGAGTGGAGAGCGATTAGAAGAGGGCGAGGGCAAGGGCGAGGGAGGCGATGGTGGGGTGGAGATGGAAGAGGAGAAGATGGTGGCGGCGACTCGTGTCCCTCGCTTCCCTGTCGCCAGATCCACCGGTGACTTATGCGACGGCCTCTCTCGGAGAGAGCGGCGGAGGCGCGGTGAAGATGGCTGGAGGAGGGTGAGGAGGCACGCGGGTGAGGATGGGTGGCGGCGCTAGTTGTGACGACGCGGGTGAGAGGAGGAGGACGGCTAGGGTTTTGGTGCGGTGTGGTGACATCTGCGCCGTTCATTCCCTATCTGACGAGCGCACGGTTTAGGAAGCCACAAAGGGACACGTGGGTTTGTCAGGTCGACGTTAGTGCGAGATCCAACGGACGACAGCAATGGGGCCTGGCACGTAATTAACAGAACTGCGGGGGCATTTTTTGCAAAAGTGATAGCTGACGTGGCATCCCTACTTCCAGCAATCCCACGGCATTTAGAGAGATTAATATATCCAGCGGTCCAAAACCAAATTGGTGTGTTGGCTGGTTAAGAGTGAGTGCAACTTCTATACAGTCGCATGTGCCTGTTAAATATAGTTGTTAGTGCTCTACTTGAAAAAGTTGCTGTTATTTGTTTAAATCTTATGCTTTAGCTGGAAAACAGTATAATCTCTAAAGCAGCATCGGCATTTTCGAAGAGCTTAACATTTGGTTGATTATATGCAGCTTGACGCATGTGCACATCCCTTCTTTGATGAGCTACGAGAGCCCAATGCACACCTGCCATGGCAAATGGTCGTCCATTCCCTCCTCTGTTCAACTTCAAGCATGAAGTAAGTAAACGAGAACATTTTCGAACAGTCGCTTTTTATGTTACATTTATATTTACCTGTCATGGATGCTTATCAATGCTCATTTCTGCAATGCAGCTAGCTGGCGCCTCTCCAGAACTCGTCCACAGATTCATACCGTACCATATCAGACGGCAACATGGCCTCAACTTGCGCATGCTGGGAGTTAGAATGGCACCGTTTTGTTCGTTTATTTTTCCATGAGCTGGACATTGCAATCCTAGATGACTCCATTGTCTTGGACTTGGGACTCCATCTCAGATTGCACCATCCATGATTCTTCCATGATCTATCCATCCGTCCAGCCATTTCAGCAAGGACTCAGTACCAGAGAAGTACAATTATGTAAATTATCTAGCCATGGAGAAATGCGTGCTGCTGCTGCTGGTGTTAAGTACGTGACGGGGTATGCTGGTTGAGTAGTAGGTAAGGTTAAGGATAAATGTAGTTGGTGGAGACTGAGAGACATGTTAAGCTAGGGGAAGCTTTCTTTTTTTCTCCTTTCATTTTGGTTTCTTCCCATTTTGTGATCTTAGCATTGCCCTACAGTAGTGTAGCTGCTCCCTGTTTTTGTTTGCTCTTTCATCATGTAAATGCCAATCCCAATCCCAATCGCAATGAACCCTCTTCCTTTACATCCTGGTCTACTCCCTGTGAGTCTTAGGTCTGTGAGTTTGTGCTGCTGGTTCTCCATTCAAGGTGCCTTGGGTGTGCGTTCTGATCGATTTGGCGTGACGTGTTTGTTTCCACAGGGAAGGACTGCAAGGAGAAGCACCCTAACGTCAAGCAGGTATCTTGTGGCGCATTTGGGTTGCTCTGCTGCGTTAACTGCTACAATGTGTGTTCTGACTTGGTTGATTTGGTGGTGACAAGTGCAAGTCCATGTCTGATGCTGTGAGTTCCTCACTTCCTGTGCCCATGTTCTGAACCGTTCCATATGCATTTCTCACTTGATGTAATTTCAAATTTTGGGCCATATATCTGGTAGTTTTGGGCCATATATCTGGTAGTAATTCAAACAAATATAGTTTTACCTGGAGTTCTAGCTAACATCTCTTCCCGATCCTTGAGATCACATCCGTTTGGTTCTGCATGTCCTATTGTTTGAAACTTGCTGCCTATTAGAACCTCCTTAGTTGTCTCAATACTTTTACTTTTATTACTGCCATATTAATTATCTTGTTGCTGAGTCCTGTTTTGATGATTATGCACAAAGTATCCAGTTGTTCTGGTACCTAAATGAGTAGTTTGCTTGCTGGCGTATCACATGACTTAAACAATAATAATTCTCTTTTTGTAACTGCATTTCTTGGTTCAAGCTTATATCTCAGTTGACCATAGGCTATAGTGGAAAGTTCATAGATCAAATATGTTAAGGGTAATGGAATCTATTTGCTCTGCTGTGCATTTAATTGAAGCAGAGATTTATTAATCTGGTTGGCTATTTGATATCAGGTGAAAGCAAATATTTGAATGATATTATGTGAAACATACGACAGGTTTTGGCACTTGACAAATGCTTTGTTGACCCACGTTGTTTATTAAATCCCACACAAGTAATGAAGAGGGCATTATACCATTAACAGATGCTATTCCCAATATTCCAATCGTAAGTTTTATTTTATGTTAGTGAAAATCTAGTTTTCATTGTTTTCTCCATAAATGCCTTGCATGTGTAATTCTTGTACATATACTCCCTGAACTGTTATTAATATAGTATGGTTCATATGATTCTGTCCCGTGTTTGATTAAAAAATTTAGGATATCGCCTAAAAGATGCTATTTCTAATTTCATGTTAGAATGATGGCATAGAGTAGAATGAATTGTACCTTTGTTTGTAAGTTAAAAACTTTGGGTTATTTATTCTTGTATTTGGTAATACAATGATGTCCTGTTGCCTTGCTTCTATAACGTGGCAATAATAGGTTGGGCTACTCAATGTCGCTAAGGGCTACTATGGCTCAGATTTACCTTTTAAAAAAATAATAGGAAAGCCCTGGTCAAAAAAAAAAAAAGGAAAGCACTAAACTAATTTTAATTTATCTTTGTAATGAATGATTTTTTGGGATTGTGTTTCTGTGTGTGTGGGGGAGGGGGGATGCGAATCCGTATCTGTAGTTAGGGGCATGCGAATTTGGAAATTTCAATACACTGGGAAGGACAAATTTATTGCATTGTTCATGTATATGGTATTTCTCTCAAGTACAAGAGTACATTGATGACATATATTCAGATGTTTGCAAATTTCTTTACTGTAAACTTCCGTTATCAGCTTATACCCAACAGAACCAGTTTATTACAAGGGTACCAAGATAAGTTTTTTTTTTCTAGAAAGGAAGACAAATGGAAAACCTGCTACAAGTACTAGTTTAGAAGCTTTAAAATACAAAGAGCAACAAACATTCTCCTCTCTTCTCGAAACTTCTTTTGGTATTCTAAACAATGAGTAACATCCCTTGATTATTTTTAATAACATTTCTCGATTTTGTAATCAATACATTTATATGGATTATACATGTCCAGTTTCTAACCTACAATTGTTTTTTGTTCGGAATTTGGTGTTAACTTTTGTGTGTTCGATGTTTTTGTTTGTGTTTTAAAGCTTTAATTCTGCATTTCAGATTGGATTGAGACTCTACTTTGGACCTTATTTCGTTTCTTGCATGGCATTTAATACTATTGGTTTCTTACTGTATGCTAATATTTGGACTTGACAGATTCAGTTCTATATGCCTAAATGCTTTTATTAAAGTTGATGTTTCTTTTTTTTAATCATCTGTTGCTTTGCACTTCAATCAATTTTCTAAAGCTTTAATTTGGTATTTCTAATTTATTATCCAAAAATTATGATTTGTTTTGCAATTCCTTGGTTTCATCCTTGATACTTTTTTTGGGATTCAGAAAATTCAGATTTGTTTTTTTTTAATTTGGTACTCCCAACTATAGAAATAGGATATTCTAGTTCACACGTGACTCTTTTAATTTGTAATCTGTTCCCTCCATAAAAACAGTGAATTGGTTTCTTCCTGGACACTTTTAAGTCGGTGTTTCCTTTTATCCATAAATACTTTCTTAAGATTTCGGACCTATTCTCTACTTGAACTCTTCCGCTTTAGCTTGGTACTTATGATTGGATTTTTAGAGATTGGTGTTCTTTTTTAAAAAAGAAGGCCTCTTAGTCTTATGTTTTTTTGGTTATGCTATTTTCAAAAAGAAAATATTTGCTTGTATTGGACCTTGTGGCTTTTTTTGTCCCTCGAGGTTTCATTTCCCGTCCTCGTTTAAACTTTATGTTTTTATTTGAATTTATATATCTTCGAACGTTCTTCTCTATTAATGGTTTTGATCTGCTATTTGGACTTTAAAACTTTAATCTGGTTCTTTAGATACCTGTTGTTTTTTCTTCCTTGAGTTTCAACTAGGTATTTTTAGTTCGATTTCTTCAATTACCAAACTCTCTTTTTGGAACTTCCCTTTGGACATTAAAGCTTTATTTTTCTTCTGAAATCACATTTTCCGTAATTTTCTATGAAGTTATGCTTACTAGCTTGTGAAAAGAAAATATTTGTTTACATTTCAACCCTGTGGCTTTTTTTCCCTCGACGCTCCATTTTCCGTTGTCATTTAACTTTATGTTTTTAATTGGATTTCTTCTTCTGTATTAATGGTTTTGATCTGCTATTTGGACTTAATTTGGTTCCTCACTTACCGTTTCCTTGAGTTTCAACTTGGTATTTTCTGTTTGATTTCTTCAATTACCAACTCTCTTTCTAGAACTTCCCTTTGGACTTTAAAGCTTTATTTTACTTTTGAATTATAATTTTACGTAATTTTCTATGAAGTTATGCTTACTAATTTGTGAAAAGAAAATATTTGCTCACATTTCAACCTTGTGGCTTGTTTGTTTCTCGACGCTTCGTTTTCCGTCCTTGTTTAAACTTTTTGTTTTTAGTTGGATTTATTTATCTTAGAATGTTTTTCTCTTTTAATGGTTTTGATATGCTATATTGACTTCAAAAAAATTAATTTGGTTCCTCACTTTCCGGTCGTTTTTTCACCCTTGAGTTTCAACTTGTTTTTTTTTTAGTTTGATTTCTTCAATTACAAACTCTCTTTTTGGAACTTCCTTTTGGACTTTAAAGCTTTATTTTATTTCTGAAATGCCAATTTCCGTAAGCTTGTTTGAACTTATGGTTACTAGGTTGTGAAAAGGAAATATTTGCTTACATTTCAGTCTTGCGGCTTTTTTTTTTGTCCCTCGACGCTTCATTTTCCATCCTCGTTTAATCTTTATGTTTTTAGTTGGATTTATTTATATTCGAACGTTTTACTCAATGGTTTTGATTTGTTATTTGGACTTTAAAACTTTAATTTGGTTCCTCACTTACCGGTTGTTTTTTCACCCTTGAGTTTCAACTTGCTTTTTTCCAGTTTGATTTATTCAATTACAAACTTTTCTCTTCGATTTCTTGATTTTGAAAGGTTCTTCATGCATCGATTCTTCAAATATCACTGCCATGCTCGCCTCGGGCTCCGGGGCGAACTCGTCAAGGAAGGACGCCGACGACTTCACTTGGACGGTCTGGCCCGCATTCTCGGCCACGATGCAGCGGTGGTGGCTATGGCTTCGGCGACGCTGGGGAAGGACGCCTCAAAGGTCTAGGACCACGCCCTCGCATCTAGTTTTTTTTCTTTCCCTTGGAGGGCCTATATAGGTGGAGCGTAGCTCGGCAGTAGTATGTACTTAGGTTTATTTTAATGAAAAGCTCAGCTTTTGCCACTCTGTGCTCCCGGTCGTTCCGGCCCGTTCTGAACGCAGGTTCCAGCTTCCTCCTCCGCTCTAGCTCTCGCTCCGAAGGTCGGTCGGAGGGAATTGCTGCCGACGATCGCTGTCGTGATGGCCGTGACTCCGAACGCGACCAGCCCTTCATTGCCTGCACCCGGAGTTGCTCAGCCTGGCATCCGGAGCGGAGCGAGCTCCTCCAACTCCTTCCACTAGGAGACCTCCGACGAGGACTCGGACTTCGATGCGGAGGGGTGGTCGCCTCTTCCCCTTGGCGAAGACGATTTAGACTTCAGCGTTTTTGACGCGCCGCAGCCGGGCTCCAGTATACGGTCCGCTGTGGAGGCGCTAGGGCTTGGTTACCATCCTTCTCACGGGATCTAACCCCGTCGACGCCCTACCAAGCGCTCCGCAGGTCGCGTCCGGGGTGAGAGTTCGCAGGTGCCTCCTCGGGAGGCTCATCGCGGATCCGGAGGCGGAGGCGGGGGCGTTCCCAACGAGATGGTCTACTGTCGCGGGATGCCCTTTTGGCTAGGTCTTCGCAAGCGACCTCGTTAGGACGCCCTTGTTTCTTTTTGTTGTATAGTCGGAATGTACGTTGTAAATGTTAGCCTACCTTACTAATGAAAAAAAAAATCCTTTAACCATCATACTCCTTGCCGTACTCCGCTCCCCCCCTTTTTTGAGTAAAGCTGCAGAGATTTACTTTGCTCGGCGGAGCCAAAGTGGTCTCGACACGAGCTTGGCCACGGAGATTTACTTCGCTCGGCGAGGGCCGGAGAGGTCTCGATGATGGCGTGCCACGGACATTCACTTCGCTCGGCCGGATCCGGAGCGGTCTCAACAATGGCATTTTTTTAAGTAAAGCTACGGAGATTTAATTCGCTTGGCCGGAGCCAGAGCGGTCTCGACGCGAGCTTGGCCACGGAGATTTACTTCGCTCGGTGAGGGCCGGAGCGGTCTCGACGATGGCGTGCCACGGAGATTCACTTTGCTCGACCGGAGCCGGAGCGGTCTCAACGATGGCATTTTTTTTTGTTTTGTTTTTTTAGTAAAGCTGCGGAGATTTACTTCGCTTGGCCGGAGCCAGAGTGGTATTGACGCGAGCTTGGCCACGGAGATTTACTTCGCTCGGCGAGGGCCAGAGCGGTCTCGACGATGACGTGCCACGGAGATTTACTTCGCTCGGCCGGAGCCGGAGCGGTCTCAACGATGGCTTTTTAAGCGGGGGGCCTAGCTACGCCCACAAGGGGGCAACACGTCGTCTAATAGGGGCCACGCAACAAGACCCCGGAGAGCTTGCCGCGCGGTAACTTCCCGTTTCCAACTAAGTGAATAAACACGTGGCTTTTTGAACACGGAGCATAATATTTTTCATTAGCACAAAAGTCATGACATCACAACTGGCCTCGGGCCGGAGGCCAACATTCATAAGGCTAAACTCTCTTAGATGCAATACCATTTGAGGAGGTAAGCATTCCATGAGCACGGGAGAGGGGTCCCATCGAGCTCCGTCAGGTGACAAGCTCCGCATGTGCCGGTTCCCGCCACCAGGAAGGGGCTTTCCCATTTGTTCTGTAGCTTGCTGGGGCTCAGGGCGCGCCTTAGGACGGCCTCGCTCAGACTAAATGCTCGTGGGGCCACTTTCTTGTTATACCATAGCTGCGTCGCTACGATGTATTTTCGTAGTTTCTTGGCTGCAGCCATCCTCATCTCCTCGACGTGGTCCACCGAGACCTCGCGCTCGCCAGCGTGCTCCGGAAGGACGACTCGCAGTGATTGACCCTTGATCTCCGCGGGGGTCATGGCCTCGTCTCCGAAAAGGAGCTTGAACGGGGTAAAGCCGGTGGCCCAGGTCACCGAGGTGCAGTGGCCCCACTGTACGGCGGGGAGTTCATCCGCCCATGTACCGCGCGAAGCGTCGACCAGACGCTTGTTGAGGGAGGAGAGAATGTTGCCATTCGCCCGCTCCACCGCTTCGTTACTCTACGGATGACAGACGGAGGCGAAACACAGCTCTGTACCATGCCTTCGCAGAAGTTCTTGAAGCTGTCGAAGTCAAACTGATGCCCATTGTCCATCGTTAGGTGCCTGGGCACCTCGAACCGGCACATGATGTTGCGCCAAACGAAGCGTTGTATTGTCCTTGCGGTTATGGATGCTAGGGCCTCCGCCTTTACCCACTTGGAGAAGTACAAGTACTCAACTGCTACCAAGGCGAAGCGCATGTTCCCTGGGGCCCGAGGCAGCAGCCCAACGATGTCTATGCCCCACCGTGCGAAGGGCCACACGGGCGGAATCAGTGTCAGCCTAGTGGGGGGCATGTGCGAAGCTCGCCTCATCCACTGGCACCCCTGGCAATGGCATACCAAGTGCTCCGCGTCAGCTGCTATCGTGGGCCAGTACAGCCCCTGCCGGAGCGTCTTGGCTACCAAGGTTCGCAGAGCGAGCTGCATCCCGCAGTGCCCGTCGTGTTCTTTGAGGAGCTCCGCCCCTTGGCTTCGGCTGACGCACCGCAAGACGGGTGCACAAACTCCTATCGTAAAAGGCCCCCTCGACCAGCACGTAGCCCCTTGCGCGCTGGCGAAAGCGCTGATGCTCCGTTGCAGAAGAAGGCTTGGCGCGACCCGTCAAGATGTCTGTTATCTGCAGCCGCTAATCGGGCTACGTGTCGATCACTGCGACCTCGGCGGCAGGCGCGTCTGTGTCGGATGCGGCCGGGGAGCGCAATACCTCGTAGAGTACGTGCGAAGGCAGCAGCGTACTACCGGCGGCCGCCTTTGCCAGGGCATCGACGTCCGCTATCGTGGCTCGGGGGACTCCGGACACTGTGATGCCCCGAAAGCAAGCCTCGGCCTTGCGAAACGCTTCCAGGTACTTGGCGAGCTCCGGGCTGCGAGCTTGATATGACTTGTCGATATGCCCGGCGACAACCTGCGAGTCTGTGTGGATCACGAGGCACTGGGCGCCCATTGCCCGTGCTTTGCGAAGGGCCAGCATAATGGCCTCGTACTCGGCGGTGTTATTGGTGGTCGGGAATTCCAACCGAGCTGCGAATGACGCGGACCGCCCAATAGGCGAAGTGATAGCCGACCGAGATATGAAGGAGATGGCGAAAGACGCACCGAAAGCGTTGCATGCTCCGTTGGTTAGGGCTATCCAGACCTCCTCCACAGGAGGCTCCGGCTGATCGGAGCAAGGCCTGGTCCGTTCCACGATGAAATCCGCCAGGATCTGTGACTTGATAGCCGACCGAGATACGAAGGAGATGGTGAAAGACGCCAACTCGATAGCCCATTTGCCGATTCGGCCTGTGGCCTCTCTGTTCCGGAGCATATCGCCCAGCGGATAAGAGGTCAGCACCATGATGTCGTGGGCCAGGAAGTAGTGCCGGAGCTTCCGGGAGGCCATGACCAGTAAGTATGCCATTTTTTTCGGCTCTGTGTACCATGTTTTAGGGCCCGCCAAGGCCTCCGAAACGTAGTACACGGGCGTTGCAGCGGCTTCGGCCCGGAGTCGTCTTCCAGCACCAGGACCGCCGACACCGCGGCGAGCGAAGCAGCCATGTACAATAGCAGCCATTGGCCCGAGGGAGGAGTCGCTAGTGCCGTCAACTTGGATAGGTGTTCTTTAAGGCCCTCGAAAGCTTGCTGACACTCCGGCGTCCATCGGAAGGGCGATGCACCTCGGAGCACAACAAAGAAGGGGTGGCAGTTCTCCGCGGATTTGGCCAGGAAACGCGAGAGGGAGGCCAGGCGTCCCGTAAGGCGCTGCACTTCTTTGGCCTTGATTTTCTCTGGATTGGCCTCTATCCTCCTCTTAGAGACGAGGTAGCCCAGGAGCTTTCCCTTGTCGCGCCGAAGGTACACTTCTCGGGGTTCAACTTGATGCCCGCTCTCCGCAAGCTATCGAACGTCTCTCGGAGGTCTGCGACGTGGTCCGAAGCCAGCTTGCTCTTGATCACAACGTCGTTAATGTACGCTTCGACGTTGCGGCCCAGCTGGGCCTTTAGCGCGGAGTGGATCAGCTGGGCATTTCGAAGGCCAAAGGGCATCCGGATGTAACGGTACACCCTGTCAGGAGTGACGAAACTGGTCTTGGCCTTATCCTCCGGAGCCAGGCAGATCTAATGGTAGCTGGAGTAAGCATCCAGGAAGCTCAAGAGCTCACAGCCTGCCGTGGAATCGACCAGCTAGTCAATGCGACGCAGCAATAAGGGGTCCCGGGGGCATGCCTTGTTTAGGGCGGTGAAGTCGATGCACATCCACCACTTGCCGTTGGCCTTGTTGACGAGCACTGGGTTTAAGAGCCACTCGGAGAACTGGACCTCACGAATGACCCTAGCCTCGAGCAATTTCTTCACTTCTTCGCGGGCTGCCTAGGCCCGCTCGGCGGACACATCTTCCGGAGCCCCTGGCGCACCGGCCGGGCCCCCGGGTGGACGTCTAGGCGATGCTCCGTAATGCATCTGTCGACGCCCTTATGGTCCGAAGCGGACTATGCGAAGACGTCTAGGTTCTCTCGAAGGACGGCCACGATGGCCACCTCCACGTCGCTTGCCAACCCGTCTCCGAGCCGGAAGGCCCGCTTCGAGTGGGCTGGGTCAGGGTGCAACCCGTGCGTCCCCTCGTCTGCCTCTGGCTTGACGAAGCGGACAGTACACTCCGGGTCGGCACCGTCCACCTCATGCACGTGCCTGGCCTCGGCCTGCGGCTCGTGCCCGTACGCGATTTTCCTAGCCCCGAGCTGATCGCCCCTTACTGTGATCACGCCGGCAGGGCCGGGCATCTTCGTGCACAAATAATTCTAGTGGATGGCTGCCCCGAACTTGTTCAGGGAGCCCCTTCCCATTATTGCGTTGTAAGCATATGGGAGGTCGACGACATCGAAGGTGACCTGCTTTGTCCGGGCACTCCGGCCTCTACCGAAGGAGACCGGGAGAGTTATCAGCCCGAGCGCTTCCACCGTATCCCCGCTGAAGCCCCTCAAGGGCCAACGAACCTTGCTTAGCCGGCTTCGAGGAATCCTCATTTGGTCGAAGGGAGTTATGAACAAGATGTCCGCTGAGCTGCCTCCGTCCACGAGAATTCGGTGGATGTTGGCCTCCGCGATATGGGCCGTAATGACGACCATGGCGTCATTATGGGGGTACAGACGGCCATGGCCGTCTTCCAGGGAGAAGGAGACCGGAGCCGCCGCACAGGCTGGCGGAGCAACTGAGCTTACTAGAGCTAGGTTCAGCACGTCGCGCGCATAGTCGCGGCGTTGACGCTTTGATTCGTGCACGGCGGAGCTCCCTCCGGATGTATTCACAATTGTCCGGGATGAAAACTACTATTTCAATTCATATTTGCTCGGGATGGGAACTACTATTGTCTTTAACTTGGTGTTTGAAGTTGAAATGTGATTCTTTTCAAAGGAAGTTTTCTGTTCAGGTTTTATTGCACATGATGTGTATACGTGTTTTATAGTTCCATGTTGTACTTGTTGAGTATTTCCGTACTCACTCTTGTGTTTATTTGATTTTAGGTACACATTGAGATTGGCATGCACGGGGGAGTAGCACCCTTGGATTACATACTTTATTGCACAACCAAAATTTGGTTTTAGATTATGATCTTGTTTAGTATAAGTTTTGCGTAAACTCGTAAAGATCAATTAAAGTTCTGGTTCGTATTTTTATGTGGGATTTATGGAACTAGGATGGCTTGGAATGGGCGAATAATTTCGTTATTGATTTATCTTATAACTGTCTGTCGTGGATGTCCGTATTTATAGGGGAGACTGCAGAAATTTCTAATAATTTTGGGAATTAATGGTTTTGAGTGTATTTTGGTGTGGCACTCTTGGTACATGGTTACCTGAGGTGTTACATTATGTTTTAAATGGATAGGATGCCACGTCCTCATTCTAGATGGAACGAACACGTTATCTCACGGGTGAATTAATCCATTCATCGATAATGTGGTTTTGTGAAACTAAACTACCAAAATATATGTACTTAAGTGCCAAGTGTCAAAATGTGTGTGGTTTTCTACAACTTGAACCATAAAACATGTAGTTTTGTGAAATTTACTCTTTTTTTAAACAAGGTAGACGATTAAAGTTGGACATGGAAATTCATAGCTACAGTTAAAACCGGACGAAGGGAGTAAGTAATCGATGAAAATTTAGTTCCTTGGGCCAGCCCTTGGGATTTTCACTAGCTGGCTGACAACCATCTGGGCCATACACGTAGCCCAACAAAGGCCCATAGACAGCTGCATTAATGCCTTGGAATAAGTTCACTTTAGGTCCCTTAACTTGTCAACGAATCCGATTTTCGTCCCTCTACCAGAAAACCAGACACAGCGGCTCCCTAGATTAGGTCCCTCGGCGGTTTTGAGGGTGGTTTTGGCTGATGTAGCGCTTACGTGGCTAATTTGATTAGGTCTATCCCACGTGGCATTGATGTGGCGCTTACGTGGCAATTATATATAGGAAAAATAATAAAAACCGTGGGCCCACATGTCAGCTACATAAAAATAATAATAAAAAAGTGGGGCCCACATGTCAGCTACACAACAAATAAATATGGTGGGGCCCACATGGGCCCCACGTCAGTCAGTAGCAATTTATTTCTCCTCTCTCACCCTTCTTCTCCCCTATCTTCGCGTGGGTGGTAGAGCAGCGGGGTCGAGTGGGGGGTGGCGGCGGGCGAACGACGGTGTGAAGCCGACGGGGCAGAGTGGGCAGCGGCGGTGGACGCGAGGGCGGAGTGGTTGCGCCCGAAGCCGATGGGCGGCGGAGCCAAGCGGAGGGCGCCAGCCTCGTCGTCGGCGGGGAGTGGCGCCGAGTTCCTGCCCATGTGCGGCTCCAACTCGGTCGAGGCCCCCGCGCCGCAGGAGCAGAGGCGGAGCTCGAGCTTACCATCCCGTCGACAGGCAGGTGGGAGGCGGTTGCCGAGGAGGGGGTCGCGGTAGGTGGCGGCCGATGAGGAAGACGGAGGTGAGGAAGAGGGGAGGGGAGCCGGCGAGCACGAGCTTACCATCCCGCCAACCATCTTCCACTCCCGATGTTGCCTGCTCAGCTCCCCACCATCGACTCACGGTGGCATCTTCCCCAGCAGCGAGGTCCGCCGAACAGAGGGCACCAGGCAGCAGGCCTCCAGGCTCCCAATGGCGACGGGCGGCCAGCCTCCAGATCTTGGCACCAAGCGGCGGCGGCGGCGGCATCTTCCAGGTCGGCGCGCTGTCTCTTTTCCCCGCCGGCCATTGCTCGTCGTGTTGCCCTTCCGGCCGCCGTGACATGTATCCCAACATTGGGGAGGAGGAGGAGGAGGAGACGGGGTGGCCGCCGCCGTGCCGCCGCATTTGGGGTGGTGGTGGTAGGCGCGGCGGCGGGCGTGGGGTGGTGTGCGCTGCGGCGGGGGCGATGGTGGCGAGGAAGCCGTAGATGTTGGAGGTGTCGAGGGAGACGGCGCGGCCGCCGTTGAGGTCAATGGTGTCAAGGAAGCCGAGGGAGAGGGATGAAGGGAGGAGTGAGGCTGACATGTGGGACCCACGTGGGCCCTACCATTTTTAAATTATTTTCTGTGTGAACTAACTTGTGGGCCCCACGGGTTTTATTATTTTTTCGGATCGAATTGCCACATCAGCGCCACGTGAGTGCCATGTCAGTTGAAGACCGAGTCAAATTAGCCATATAAGCGCCACATCAGCCAAAACCGCCCTCAAAACCGCCGAGGGACCTAATTTGTACCAGTTTTGATAGTTGAGGGACCCGTTGTGTCTGGTTTTCCGGTTGAGGGACGAAAATCGGATTCGTTGACAAGTTAAGGGACCTCAGATGAACTTATTCCTAATGCCTTTCTCCGTTTCCAGTCATTCTTGGGCCTCAAGCCTTTTTGGGCTGAAACTATACAGTTCCCTGCGAGAAGGGCGAAGCCCCCATCTACTCAGTGCCATCCTGTTTCTGAGGAATGTATAGTTTCCACTAAAAAAAACAGCAATAAATAGCACCACCTTAATCGCTCAAATTATTTCGAGAATGTAATCCCAAAAACAATTTGAACAGCAAGGAAATGTATATTATATACGTAGCAAAGTGTGTGCAATAGTACATATTTATGAGCATATATATACTTTGCATAGCATCAAGAGCAATCAGCCTTAATCATGACAGATTGACTGCTCCTGATGGTATGTATATTTCGATAATCGATCGACAGCTAATTAATTAAGCCCTATAAACGCCATAAGGAGAAAATAATCATCGTTTAAAATCACACGAAACCAAACAAAACCAAAATAATAGTACGTGCGTGGATGCATTAATTTGGCCAAAACTTCACCGATGCGTCGTCGTCGTCGTCTGTGCATATGATCGAAGATGAACGTGTAGCAGTAGGCCCGGCCGGCCTACCGCAGGTTCATGCCGGCGAGGGGCGGCGCGCCGCCGCCGCCGCCGCCGCCGGCGGCGGCCCAGAAGTCGGAGCCGACGACGACGTCGTTGTCGGCGGCCAGGTGGGGCATGCACGAGACCGGGACCAGGCACAGCCCTCTGCTCCTCAGGTCGTCGTCCTTCTTCGCCTGTTGCTTCTTTCCATCCTTTTCTGCATCCTGTATATTAATTTACACGTATATATGAATATATATATATAATTCATGCATGCCAAATTAATTAATTGATTCAGATCTGTATATATATTAATTTGCTTATCACTGTACCTTATATGTATGTATATATACTTGGTAGTAAATTAGTTAATTACATAAATGGATTAATTAATTTGATGCTAATTAAGTACTCCCTCCATTCCATAATATAAGACACAAATATTTTTTTTCAAATGTTCCATAATATAAGGCGCCCATGCATGCATGTAATTAATTAGCACATCTTCTTTATTAAATTATTATTATTATTTAAATCCTTCACTCTTAAGATCTCTAATTCTATTGGGTGCATGCATTATATTTATTATGGTGATATAAATTAGGAGGTGATAATTATTTCTTGGTCTTTAAGTTAAGGGTGGTTGTGTTTTATATTTTGGAAGGGAGGGAGTAATAAGCTGCTTTAATTTATTCAGGTCTGCATGAATTATCAGCAGGGGCATTGATGTGTTGACTACTGCTACAGTTTAGCAACTGAAAAGCATGCATGCCAGAAACACATAAACTGAAAACAAGATATGGTATGGTCGCATTGCATCATATCGGTTCACCTCTAATAAAATTTAGCAAGATTTTATATGCATGCACAGCACATATATCAGATACTACAGTAGTATGCTACCTGGCCAGCTGGGAACTCCGGGAAGAGGCCATCAGTGCTCCTTTCTCCTGCCATTATTCCCTGCATATTTGCGCACACACAGCTGCTAGCAATGAGATCGAAATTGATCAGCTGAAGCATGGAGAGAGAGAGACAGAACGTACAGGCGTGCAAAAAGCTTCAGCTGAAATTAATCATCTAGAGCTACCCGACGTGCATATATCATTGAATCACATGTGCTACCTAGCTAGAGCTAGATCGATGGAGATATATATATATGTGTGTAGTTAGCCCCTCCATATCACGGTCCATACCTGGAACCTGTCCCTACCTAGTTATAATTTCAAGTTCAGTATACTGATTGCAGGCTCTGTAAATAATTTATGGTACCAGTACAAAGTTAACGGAAAAGAGTTGTTAATTTATGAGAGTGAATTAACTGGCGAGATTTCCTGTTAACTGTTACTTCCTTCGTTTCACAATATAAGTTATTTTAGCATTTCCCACATTCATATATTGATGTTAATGAATCAAAACATTTATATATGTCTAGATTCATTAATGTTAATATGAATGTGGGAAATACTAGAATGACTTACATTGTGAAACGGAGAGAGTATATGACCTAATGTGTATGTAGATTAATTTTAGTACCTCACACGAGATAAAGGGCTAGCTAATGGTTATTAGATTCTACAGAAAACATTGTGAAATTAAATGGGGACTAACACATATACAGTACATTATATTAAATCTTATAGGCCTTACACACAATATAAAAACCATTCCCGTACGTGTAGGGATCTGGACCACCGTCGGCATACTCAGTTATTGTTTGCTTTTACGCGGAATTAAATTAATGATGAATATATTTTATGTATTTCTGTGGTATGTTTCTAAAAATTAAAGCACGCATTTGGAAGACCGCTAGCATATGTGTGCGTGTTATGTGTATTGTGTACAGTAGATCGATCAATATAATTGTCCAATATGTGTAATGAGTAAAAAAGGTGCATATATTAGATTATTACACTACAAGAAAAATACTTTGTAGAGACATTTTTCTAGTACTGTAGAGGCACTTTTCAAATGCCTTTACAACAATGTAGAGGCATTTTAAAAAATGTCTAATAAGTGTCTTATGGTGAATTGTCTCTGTAAACGAAGGGACATTTTATAAAGTGTCTATAAGATGGTAGAGGCATTTTCTAGAGACATTAAATTGTACCACAAACATATAAAACCAATCCAAAAATGAGAATAAAATAGTTTTCTTTCTTTTGTCAAGCCTTGAACTCACGATCTCTCGGTTAAATCATTTTTATCTTAAATGCACTAACCAACTAGACTCCATATCATTACTTTTATGTTAGTTCCTTTAGTTACTTATATTTAGTCCTTTAGTACACATTATCATTCTAAAAAGTGTCTCTATATAGTTTAAAATGTCTCAACAAAATGCCTTTACATATTAGACGCATTTTATAGTGCCGAAAAAATGCCTCTACAAGATAAAATCTAACAAACTGAGCTAAAAATGTCTCTAGAGTAAAAGTTTTCTAGACAATTTGTAAAGTGCCTTTATAAAGTGTCTCTACACTATAAAACTTCTGATCTTAGAAGCAATTTGCAAAACGCCTCTACAAAAGTTCCTCTATACCAGGTTTTTGTTGTAGTGTTATTTGTGAGAATATATAAAAGCATACATGGGCATCGTGCTAGCTAGCTAGTACGTGTATTCCTTTCAGGTTTCGACAAAGGCTGTGTTTAGATCCAAAGTTTGGATCCAAACTTCAGTCCTTTTCCATCACATCAACCTGTCATACACACATAACTTTTCAGTCACATCATCTCTAATTTTAACTAAAATCTAAACTTTGCGCTGAACTAAACACAGCCAAAACACACTAATTATTCCTTCTGTTTCTTGGGTAGTACTGATGAGTACATATATTGTAATATTGATATATATCCTCCTAGCTATATATTGCATGTAATTTCTCCTCTCTCATAGATAATTGTATATACTGTATAATTATCATATACTAGTACTGCTTATATCCTTTCTTTTTCTTTTGAGTCACAAAGGGATTCCTTTCAAAAAGAGTGAAAACAAATGGTACGTGTTAACGTGTATGTATAGTTCTTGTAGAGGACACCAGAAAGCTTTATTTACTTTTGCTACTCATATATACCATGCATACCTCCTTTGCAAAAGCTTCTCCATATATACATGCTAATTAACCTATCGTATGTCTACAACAAGCCAAAGTCGAAACTTCAATTATTTCTAGGGAAAATTGGTTCCACGCCATCGAAAGTTCTCCAATTTTGCTTTGTACCACTGAAAGTTGCCGGTGCACTTTAATACCACCCAAATTTTGCTCCGTTAGCTTTTATACCACAACCGTGTACCTACTGTTAGATATTGTTTTTCCTTTTTAATTTTTTGCTAGAATATGAAGGTATATGACCATATTGCCCCTGCTCTACACATCTAAGCCCTGCATCTCGTTTTTAGTCGTGGATAGTCAGGCGTTGCTGTGCGCCTGTGCGCTGGAGAAGCACGGGCGAGCGCGCGGCGGCGCGTGGGAGGAGCTCGGCGGCAAGTGGCGGCAGGAGCTCGGGCAGCGGCGAGCGACGATGAGCAGCACCGATGGGAGGCCCGCAACTGCACGGCTTCGGCGCACGCGACGGCCTAGAACGACGAGCGGCTGCACGGCTTCAGCGACCACCCGGCCAGGGAGGACCAGTTGCTCCGGCGAGAGGCGAAAATCTGCACGGCGGCGGCCATGGACGACGAGCGGCTGCACGGCTTCGGCGGCCAGGGAGGACCAGCGACTCCGGCAGGAGGCGCGTAGCTACAGGCGCACGCTGTGGCCAGGACGATGAGCGGCTTCGGCGCAAGCACAGCTTCGTGCTCCGGTTGCATCATGCGCGGCGGCGGACATACATACAGGCCAACGCCATGTATGGATTGGTTGCGCTTGAGGCTTGACCTTGTTGACCAGAAACAAGGGCATTTTAGATATGCTTAACGGGAGAAACTCTGACTTACACGGAAATGGTATGAAAGCTAACGGAGCAAATTTTGGATGGTATTAAAGTGCACTGGCAACTTTTAGTGGTACAAAGCAAAACTGGACAACTTTCGGTGGCGTGGAACCAATTTTCCCTTATTTCTAAGGCACATAACCTTTAGTTGCACGTGCCCAACTAAGCTTCTTAATTAACTGCAAGTACACTTTCACGTACCTAAGTATTGTGCGTCTATATATATTATACTTGCATCACTGAGAGAGAGACTTACAGTTTGCTGTTGCATGGGGTTCGCAGAGCAGCATTGCCCCAAGTATGGGTAGCTGAGAGCCTACAAATTAGACAACGAGTACTAGTCATGTACTTGCTTATATATTATGGAGATGCATTTGCCACTGAAATAATAACGATGAAGGATGTTTGGTTCCAACACCAAGATCAATTTTGTGTTCAATTCTTAACACGTACAATCATACTTTTATTATTATTATTATTCGACATCAAGTTTCTCCTCCTTAATTTAAGAGAGAGAGAGAGAGGGGAGATGTCAATGCATGCAATCAACAAGAGGGAATCTACAGTATTACTGAATTACTGATTTTTTTTTAGAACTACTGAATTACTGATGTATCTGAATTACTAGCTATAGAACAAGACATCACACATGTTGCATGTACTACTGAAGGGTACATGCATGTGTGCAACTTGCTGCTGTGGCTTCAGCCTGATGCGCAGGCTGCAGCTGCTACGATGACCCAGCCATGCCATGCATATGCAAACGAGCTTTAACAGCGTGCTCTTACACCCAGCCCCACACATGCAGTACCCTTCAATATAAGTCCTCTTTTTTAGGGGGGTTCACCTATTTACATAATAATTTCTGTCACATGTATACGTGTAAGCCCCACATCCTGCTGCTAACCTCACATTTGGTAATTATATATATATATATATATATATATATATATATATATATATATATATATATATATATATATATATATATATATATATATATATATATATCCAAATATGCTTGCATTGCTTCAGAAGTTAATTAATTGCACAAACGAATGATTCAAAGAGACAAATCAAAACTGAAACAGAAAGTTTTGAGCTTTCCTTTTTTATCAAGACAGAAAACATGCATATGCATTAATTAGTGGATAGCTTGGTACTGCGATATATAATCATTCATACTTGATATAATCAATTATCAGAAATTATTAACATATGCATATATAGCTTTATAGATCAGAGACAGACACACACATGCACTCTGAAGTTAATTAGAACTCTCTCTATGTATATATATGGATGGAAATGATAGAAATGGAGTGGCTAATTGATTAGCCAGGGTGAGAGAAGGGGTTGGACCTCAATTTGACCCAGGAGGAATCTAATGTAACCAATGGTCTCTTGCAGTACGGATGCAGTGTCAGTCTGCAAAAGAAGGAACACGTATACATGTCAGAGACTTGCTTTACTTTCACTCACACGACTCCTATAAAGTGAAAGAAGCTGCTGCATGCAGCTCAAAAGCGAGGAGATGGGCAGAAACTACACTATGCTACTCCAGTAGTACATTTGTTAATTTGTACTACGTGTTACGGTGTTAGCAGTACATTTGTGTCATTGTGTGTGTGTTAACAACAGTTGCAAAAAGGAAAAGGCCAGAGTTCAAAGCCTATACATGCACAAGAGATTCAGATGTACAAACAACCATGCGTAAGAATATTTTTGACATGTTGTGCATGAACTAGAACTACCTAGGTACTAGAATATATGCATGCACATGCAAAGTATAAAATCTACTGGTAGTAGATATATTTGGTGCTAGCTAGGCTAGCCTCTTTGTGTGCAGTTTACAAATATAATGCAGTGCACTACTACATCCATTTCAAAATAATTGTAATTCTAATTTATTTAGCATATATTAAGGTTTAAGATGAAAGACTATGGTACTTCTCATTAAATGATGTATAGGTAAGAGTGGGAAGGTAGTTGAGGATAAAATAGGAATAAATCTGAATAAAAAATGATATGGAACAATTAGTAATGTACAGTGACAATTATTTTAAGACAAATTTGAATATAATTATATTGTGGGACAGAGGTAGTATTACATTAACTAGTGATTTGTGGTTAATTAAGTTGCTGTAGTACCTTGCCAAATGGGGAAACTATCTGGTGAAGAGCTGTTATTCTGTCCCCAAGCCTCTCCTTCCTGACCTGAAATAAAATGTTTGGTATAGAAGAGATACAAATTATGTATTGTAATGCATGCAATGTAGCAAGCTACGATCTTCAATTCCATTGATGTATTTGTTCTGCGAGGACACGTACACTTTCTAAATGTAAACGTGACCACATACACAAGACCTACGACAAAATTAAATCCATCAGAAACCAGAGAATCTTAAAGTGTTAATGTTAATTTCCCTTACATCTTTTGTTTTACAGGCTAGATTGTATATACGAGACAGATTCCAAAATGCGGTTAGCTAGGCACAAGATGAACATATACTCCAAAGATGATAAAGTGAGATATGAAAAGGAGTGCGTGAAGAAACCTTTAGGGTAGATTGCGCTGAAGAAGAGGCTTGAACCCTAGCCTTCTTAAGAGCTGAACCTGTCTCTGTGCTGTTACACTGCAGCAGCAGAGAAACAACAAATTAAACAAGCCAATGCAAAAGCAAGAACCATCATGAGGCCATTCCATCCTTGTCCCAAGATGAGCAACTATATATAGCTAGCTAATAAGGTCGAAAATATATATAGCTTAGCTAGCTCAGTACACACTGACTTTATGGATGTAAAAATAAATAACTTTGCCCGTGTGGCATGATGCAATTAAAGTGTATCCATCTCTCTACAACCTTAGCAAGGGATCATCATGAAAGCAAGATCCCAAATGAAAAGTTTGAAACATGGGATCAGGTTTGGCACATGTACATGCATAAGCAGCAAACAAAAAGTGATTTTTTTCCCTAAGGGACATGGAAAATGTAGTAGCTTTTCACCAAAGGAGGGAAATTATAGCAAAGCTCAATTGAGTCATTCTGCACAATTACCAAGGAGATCACATCTGTGAGAATGTAGAAAGAAAGAAGAAATTTCCATACAAATTTACAAAATGAATTTTCACAGTACAGTCTTGATTAGTTTTTTTTTCTCACCTCCGACGAGTTATCTGACTGGCCTGCATGGTGTTTCCTCGTCAACTCCGGCTCCGCCGCCGGCGCCACCGCCGCGGTGTTGGAGAAATCCATCATGCTGCTGCCGAGGCCGCTGGTGGTGACGCATGACCTAGGAGAGGATGCCGCCGCCTGCAGGAGCATCTGGCTCAGCTGCGACTTGCAGCTGCTGGCCTCCGGCGATGCCTGCAGGATCCCATCGCCGGCGCCGCCGCCATGTCCATAGAAATCATAAGCAGCAGCTGATGCCTCGTGAGGCATAGAGGCCTCATCATCTAGCCCTTTGGACAGGAGAGCTGTGGCCACACTGTATTTCTCGTGATCTCCAACTAATCCACCACTGCTTATGATTTGTAGTTTCCCAAGGCAAGTAGGAGTACATGTATACACACATATGCAGGAAGAAACAATTAGTGTCAAGTTAGTGCCATGCATGTGTGAGATGTACATGTGATTAATTGCTGATTAGCAAAGCACCCAAAAGCGGAATAAAAGCAGCAGACAACTGCTTTAACTACTTTCCTCGCCTGAAGTAATTAACCTACAATTACTTTAACAATCAAATTAGCTAGTGCACCTACAATTTCATGACTAGACCACAGAGAATTAATTCAGAGATGCATGGAGAGAGGGTAATTAATTACAGAAGCAGTTGTCTCCATGACTGATCTGGCATGCCGCTGATGATCTCCTGCTGCTGCACATCGCCATGGAAGCTCCCAAGAGGATGAAGACCAGTGCTGAGATTCACCTCAGGAATGTTCAGACATGGCGATGAATTAGAAGATGCATGAAGCAGCAGCTGCTGGGGGAGGAAGAGCATGGAGGCTGGAGACGAAGCTGCATCTTGCTCCTCAGAACAAGGCAGCTGCCTCAAGCTGCCCATGATGCTGCTGCTGCTGCTGTTGCCCGTGCCAACCCACACCATCTGCTGCACCAAGGAGGAGCTCTTCAACTCCCCTCCACTACTCAGCATGCTAGCTTGATTGAGATGAGCACAGAATAATTGCAAGGGGAGAAAAGAATTTTTCTTGCAATTGCAACAGATATATATATCAAGGTGATATATCTCGTTGTGTTGTTGTTGTTGCAAATTTCCTGTGCAAATCTCAGGTCAATCTTTAAGGTCTCTCATGGCCTTTTTTTAGAGCTTTCTTTCATAGCTCCTTTATCTTTCTAGAGATGGGTCTAGTGAGAGAGAGAAAGAGAGAGAGAAACAAGAGAGAGAGAGAGAGAGAGGAGATGAGAGAGATTGGAGGGGAAATGGGCATGGCATGTTTGGAGAGGAATCTGGGCTTTTGTTTTGTTTGTTTTATCTTCCTTTTGCTTCACTCCTTTCATTTCTGAACTTTCCCCTGCAATTCTTCTCCTGCTTTTGTGATGTCCATTTTTTTTCCAAGCCTCCTCTCTCTCTCTCTCTCTACTTTTGCTTTATCAACAGAAATCGGGAAAGCTATGTGCGACACACAATTTCTGGGCAAAAGGGAGCAGTTTATGGAGGGTTGGCATTAGTTAATTGGTTCTTATGATAACTCAACTACAATTAATTAAGTATTGGTTGGTGACAGTTACCAGCAAGAGCCTTACTACCTTATCCGGTCAAGGTTCTTTGATTTGGATTTACTCAAGTCTCCAGTACTGATCAGCATTTTTATTTTTGGTATAAACGATTTTAATTAAATAGATCCACCATTTAGCGCCCTTAACGCCGTGGTAATTAGCGGTTCCGTGCTTTCAAAATTTTAATCTTTAACTAGTTAGATTCTACATGCGGTGGAACCATTCCACCTATAGGGCCGTGTTTAGTTATTTGGCCAAAATTGTTTTAAAGTATACGTGCACATATTTGAAATATTAAATATAGATTAATAATAAAATAAATTACAGATTCCGCCTGTAAACTGCGAGATGAATTTATTAAATCTAATTAATCTATCATTAGTAAATGTTTACTATAGCATCACATTGTTAAATCATGACGCAATTAGGCTCAAAAGATTCGTCTCGCAATTTACATGCAAATTGTGTAATAGGTTTTTTTTCATCCACATTTAATACCCTATGCATGTGTCCAAACATTTGATGTGACATTTTTGGCAAAAAAAAAATTGTGATCTAAACACCCTAAGTTCAAGTTCTAAACTTATTATTCTTTCAGTGATAGACGACACACCCGTTAACAACGAGGTACTCATGATACCTTCGTAATCTCAGGATATATATCGGCCCAGTCTTTCGAGGGTTCATTGAAGTAGAGTATGCATATGTGTATTGATAGAAGTGAGTGTGCACGTGTTGTGAGCGTATGTATTTGTACTGTATTTCCTAAAAATATATAACTTTCATTAATATTTCGCTTTCAGTTACAGTATACTGCCCACAACTACAAACTACCAAATACTGATCATATACAGTAAGGGTTCACAAAACATAACCACTATATTATCATTGTCGTTATATATCGACCTTATTGCGAAGTGAGCTTAACTCAACTAGTTAGGTTCTCATGCATATCGTGTGACGTGCCCAACGATAACAAGGCATCCGTGATGATTTTCTCAATCTTAAGATATGACAGTTTTGTCTTTCGGAGATGCTCATAGGGACATGATGTGCATGTGTGAGTTCATATATAAGAGTAAGTGTGTGTGTGTTATGAGTGTTTTTGTTTATATTGTGTTTCCTAAAAAAAAATTCAAGCTTATTAATGAGGTGCACATCGGTAAAACTTGGTGGAATTCGGTACTATTCGGCGAATTGTTTCAATTCTTTTAGTTAACATTTAGCATATTGGGGTAGTTTTTTTCTTTTTCAACACACACCACCCACGACATGCATGGAGACTCCATGATAAAGGCTGAACTAAACAAAATCCCCGCTATTATTATAAAGCATTCTCATGTGCTTAAATATATGGACACTAAAATTTTAACTCCTAGCCTAGCCGTAGATGAAGTTATACACGCACAACTCCACCTCTCTACTTAAATTAATTAGCACGTGCTTAGTTTCGGTTTATTCACTAGTACAACATATGCGCAGGATGTAAACATACATGTGGTCAAATAATATATACTCGATGTATATAAACTTACAAGATAAGAAACTTGGGTTGATGATTAATCTACCAAACCCTAGCTATAGCCCGTATATATAGCAGGCCACCTATATACTTCCTCCGTTTCAAAATGTTTGACACCGTTGACTTTTTTAAATACGTGTTTGACCATTCGTCTTATTCAAAAAATTTAAGTAATTATTTATTCTTTTCATATCATTTGATTCATTGTTAAATATACTTTTATGTACACATATAGTTTTACATATTTTATAAAATTTTTTTAATAAAACGAACGGTTAAACATATGCTAAAAAGTCAACGGTGTCATACATTTCGAAACGGATGGAGGGAGTATATTATAGCTAATTTAGCTTGCGTTAATTACACACTTACCGACGACGACGTACCCCGGCCCTTTGGATCAATTATTCCATCCATGCAATGTGTGATAGATTTACTTGAGGTAGACGCTAGCTTAGCTTAATTAGCTACATCTACCGACAATTCAGCACTGAGACACACTCAGGCTGCAGTGATCGATCTCGATCGATTGATCAATATCGATATAGGAGTATATCGCTATCGATCGTGGCCGTCGATGGATGGACACACGCACACGTGGCGATCTTGCTGCCTCGAGAAGCATATGTATGTGCATGCGTGATTGATGGATTGATTGCGAACAAAACAAAACAAAATTGTAGATAAAATTTCTGTAAATACTCGTATATTTTAGTTCTTTAAAAGTCGAAAGCTGACAAATAAAATTACGATAAAAAATCAAAATCAACTATATGATTAAAATTTTAATCTCACGTTTAGCTACAGCTATAAGCTGATCTCGAGCAAACGATGGTCAAACCAGGAATGATTTGTACGGTTGAGATTCCTCTGTTAGTTGCTTGATTGCTCCCTGCGTACGTCTCCGGACTCTTGGAGAACGACATTAGTAATTCTCTCGATCGATCGAATCGAATCGAATCTATGTATTTTGTGTGGTGGCCCATGCATCGGGCGGTCGCGTGTACATGGAGCATGGATGCATAATTGGCTAGCTAATTGCCCAAAAGAAGAAGCAACCTACTAATCCCCTGTAGATGATGCATACTCCTACATGCATGGCTAACCTAGTGGTTGCATATTCCATAGGCTAAATTCCTTTTTTTTTAAAAAAAAACAAATGTTGCATATATGCGATTGGATATAAAAGCCGGGTAAAAAAATACCCTTAAAAAAAACATGCATGGCTAGCTACTCTCGTAGTTGGCATTATACTTTTGTTAATTATGTACGGCCCGGCCGGACACATCGATTGATCAGTTGGGAGCTAATCTTGATTAATTTGACCAAATTAATGATCGTTTGGCTTAACTGATAAGCACTACTCGTTGCAAGTGAGTGTTTATCCCTTTACTTCTTTCATTTTTAGTACTTCTGTAATTTGTATAGGTCAGTTCAATTCTCGGAGAAGGTTCAGAGCAGAGGTAGACGAAGCAGGAGAGAGCACCTGTGCTTTTCCGGCCCATGTCTACGGGAGACCCACGTCGGCGCATGTCCGGCCGGCCCAATTCTTCCGGAATTACAGCCCAGTTCACGTGAAGACTGGGCCTTCTAAATGGACCATGGTTGAGCCCATTTGTGAACCGGCACATCTATAACGAGCCCATCCTAACTTAATTTGGGTATCTTTTGTGTGTTGCCGGTGTTGGTCGTGTGAAACACTACTCTTCTGATCCATCGATGAATCTTGAGCGATTACAGCAATCATTCATTCATCTTCTGACGTAGTAGTGATTTCGTTTCTGCAGTACTCTTGAACACGCTGTACATATATACCCCCTCTGTCCCTAAACATTTGACTGCGCTTCGGTGAATCACTTGAGCCCTGAGACATTTTCGGTGCCATGGAGCTAGACCAGTGTGCTATTATGCTTTCTTCAAAGGATGGCTGCTTCCAAGCCCACCTACTGGCTGTCATCGCTCGATCACTTCCTTTTCCACTAAGTGATTGCTTAGGGACCTTAGCGTACGATCTGGGTTGTTTCGCTCTCGACTTTGGATCTTAGCACCTAATCAGTCTGTCTGTACTAAGGATGATAGCCTGTATTCGGAGTTTCCCTGGGGTTGGTAAAGCGAAATGGGGGCCACCCTAGCCCATTGAGTGCTCTACCTCGGGCCTCCCCTCATTTCTGGGCTGCTTATTCGTCATCACGGAGTAACCTGGTACCTTTTCTTAGGCGAGCGACTGAGACGAGAGCTTTCAATTATGTCGTTTTGGTTAAATCCTAGAGAGCAGCGAAAGAAGCCCACAGAACGGAGCGGTTATTTTTCCTGTAAAACTTGAAGAAGTCTCTGATGGACGGAAGGGAGCGGGAGTCAGCTCCCTTCCTATGAAAGACACGAGCTTACTGGGATGATACCCCTGAAGGGGGATACTAGCCACCCCTCATTGAGTATGATCTGAGATCCCGATTACCTTAGCACGACAGTATGTAGGGATACGTTCAAAGTGGAAAAGAAAGAAGACAGCCGTTGCAAGAGCCATTGATTCAACACTCTGACCAGGGGAAGGGAAGGTAGTTCTCGAACAAGCACTCGAAAAGATTCTGGAGGATCCTTGTGATTAGGTACTCAAACCTCGCTATAGACATATATATCGTTGGCCTTGTCTCATGAGTTAACACATTTGCTTGCTAGCGAGTGAAGTGATCCCCTTCTTATTTTAGTACCTTGCACGGACGATAGAAATGAAAATGGAAAATCCTACCTCCTCTACCTCTTTGACAGCCCATCTTTTTGTCTCAGTGGAGTCTTTCAGTGGCATGTTTCAGTCCGCTCATCTTTCTTCTCAATCTACACCTCGTTCCGCGAGAGCCCTATCCTCGTTTCGAAATAAGGGACTGTAGTGAGGATCGAACCCAGATAAGTGAGTCAGTGTAGGGACAGAGGAGCTGTAACACCAGTTGGTCGTTTTCTGGACAGGCTATGACACCACTTGGTCTTTTTCTGGACAAGTTGTTTTCAGCGGAGAGTTATTTTTTGAGGAAAGTTATAAAATAAATTGACGCCGTTGACTTTTTTTAAAAATGTTTGACCGTTCATCTTATACAAAAACTTTTGTGAAATATGTAAAACTATATATATACATAAAAGTATATTTAACAATAAATCAAATTATAGGAAAAGATATAATAATTACTTATTTTTTAAATAAGGAAAAAGTTAATGGCGTTAAATATTTAGAGACGAGGGA